TACACATTTAAGTTAAATAATTAAAAGAACTAAAGAGTCAATTCTGCCTCTGAATAAACAAAAAGGAAGTTTGCTTCTCTAAAACCTATACAGCATTATTTACTGAAAATTTAGCACTACTGTAAGTATAGCTGGATAATCTAAAAGAGTTTTTAAAAATAAGTGAAACAAAATTTAACACAATGAAAGACTGTACTTTATTAGAGTTTAGGTCTTCCTTCTTAAACAAGTTATAGCACATTGTCAAAGATGAGCAAAAAACAAAAACCATTCAAGGACAAAGCCCCAATCTCACATATATCCAAGACATAAAATAAACTGACTAAAAAATAATAATGATTTCTTTTGCATTATGATGCAGTCTGTGGCTAGTCTTGGATTTCTAAAGTTTTTTTAATCAATTTAAGATTTCCACATATTTCATGGCATAGCTTTTTGGTATCAAAAGCCACCATGCAAGTTCACTTGACAAAGGATTTTTTCTTTAGAATTATCTAACTAAGATACTTACAAAGATTGAACCTGGATAATGCCAAAGAGTGCCAGATAATTCTTAAATTTGTTACCAAGAGTCTACCTAAAAGCAAACAAATAAAAAATAGGTTAGCTTAAGTAGGGACCTATTTCTCCAGTACTGAATGAGGTGGATATGGAACTTCTGGCCCAGTGTCAGCAGCAACATTCATAGATATTTTTCTTATACTTATTAAGTGAAAATATGTGTTGTGCATATCTACTCTATGTAAGGTATACAATATATGATTCAGAATCCCAGAGAAACAAAATCTGACAGTTTTAGAAGGGATATAGGTATTCTTTGCTAATACCTTGGCTTTAACTCAAACTGACTGATGAAAGAATTGTGTACTAGATTTTTGTCTTAATAGAAGCTGTTCTGGGGTTCCAGGAAGTCATATGTATACAAATGAAAATGAATATGGGATAATTACAAAGCCATTCATTGAAATCACACTTTTTCTTTTTTTTTTTTTGAGACAGGGTCTTACTTTGTTGCCCAGGCTGGAGTGCAATAGTGCCATGATATCTCACTGTAGCCTCAAACTCCTGGGCTCAAGTGTTTCTCCTGCCTCAGCCTCCTGAGTAGCTAGGGCTATAGGTGTGTGCCACCACACCAGCTAACTTTCAAAATTTTTGTAGAGATAAGGACTCACCATGTTGCTCAGGCTGGTCTTGAACTCTTGGCCTTAAGCAATCCTCCTCCCAAAGTACTGGGATTATAGACATGAGCCATCGTGCCCGGCTGAAATCACACTTTTCAAAGTGCTTTCACATACATACTAATCTCTGCCATATGAGTGCTCTCTTACCAGTTCTCATTTTAAAAAGCCATAGACTTATATATCCAATTTTGCTGTGACCAACCTTTTTTTGCTCATATGAAGTTATGGCCAAGCTGAAGTCTATTTATTTAAGGCTTTGAGGCTTTGTACTTTTTTTTCTTTATCTGTCTCTCTTTTCTTTCTTTCTTTCTCTTCTCTTCTCTCTCTCTCTCCTTTCTTTTTGAGATGGGGTGTCACTGTGTTGCCCAGGCTGGCCTCGAATTCCTGGGACTTACAAGCATGTGCGACTGCGCCCAGCATTGTACTTTTCATTACAGCATCAGACTGATGTTCTTACACTGAAATACAAAGTTAGATACCTCATTTCTCAAAGTGTGTCCTGTACAGTAGTAACCCCTTACAGATGGTCCAAGAAAAAAAAAAGTCAAATGAATCTGAGCATGGTAAATTAGGTATATTAGAGATATACAATTAGCATATTAGGATAGCTTTGAGATATCTTGAAATAATAAACTCACTTAAATTTAACACATTATTTCTCTAACAAATTATAGCCATAGAATTCTTTTGATGAATAATCTATAGCCAAGTCATATTCTTTCCTTCCTGAAAACCTCTAGAATGTCTAAAATCAGAGAAATTAGGCCTGCATGAATACTGGAGTTAGATGCGATAGAAAAGGAGGTTCTAAAAAAAAAAAGAAAAGCATTCTCACGGGAGATTGTGAAAAATCACAGAATATGTATGGCAATAAGCTGGAGTGTAAGGTTCACATAAGATCACAGAAGACTGGTACTGCACCTATTAGACTATGGATCCAACAGAAAACGGATGGCACATTCAAATTAGGATAACTGAGGTTATTTGAAAAAGGCCTTATTATAAAAGTATGGATGGTGTTAGGAACCATAGGTGAGTCAGCAGACCTGCTACTACACCAAGTCCAGAAGGACAAGAGGGAGCAGTTAACAAAATCTGGAAAGAACAACAGTCCTCTGCAGCTGACTGCCTTGAGGTGGGAGCGAGACATAGCCAACCTCTCACTGGGAAAAGAACTAGTGGAATAAATACCAGACCTCACACTCCTGCCTCCGTTTGATCTTCTCCCATGGTTCTTAAAACTGGAAGCCACAGTGTACAAGGAACCCTTTGATGTACTCTATTGAAGTTGTCTTCCCAGGGCAAGGGGAAAAGGGTGGAGAAGGGTGCTAGACCTGGAGGGACACATGGAAGACAGCAGCATGAGCAGGAGAAGTTGTTTGTGGACAAACTAGAAGTTCTTCAATACTAGATAAATAAATCCAGACTTAGATCTAATCGCAATGGAGGCAGTCGAGCTGGGGGTGGGGTTTAGGATTGGAACTGGAGAGGACTGAAGATTTTTGAGGATTGTGACCCCAGCAGTTTAGAAAGAATGTAGGCAGATTGGTTCATTACTTAGCTATGTGATCTTGGAAAAGTTAAATAACCTCTCTGTTCTTCAGTTTCCTCATTTGAAAAAAATACACAGTAGTATCTACTTTATATTTTTATATAATTTTTATTATTATTAAATGAGATTATATATTATATAAATGATTCGGGACAGTTATTGACAAATAGTAAACATGCACAACATTAACATCTATTTTTAAAAATATCTTAATCCTTAACACACTCATTTGTGTGACTTATTTTTTTTATTACAGACACATTGGTTTATGTTTTTCTTACGCTATTTTACCTAGGCAACATTTTATCTCTACAACTGGGATATGAGCTCGGGACATCTTATTGATTCTTTTATATTTTTCTATCAGAAGGTCCCAGGAGAAATTATGGAGTAGGGACAGTTTGCCTTATAAAACCACTGACTAAGTCTGTTTACCTTTTTTTTTTGCCCTTGGGACATCTCCTACAAGTCTCTAGGATTCTTATGCTGCCTCTGCGCTACTGAAGGACCCTATCCTATAGCTCCAAACCCAGTGTTCCTGGCATGAACTTTTCTCTCTGTCCTCCCAAACATGAAAATATAGTTTTCCCTGTTTCTACTAATCTCCCAAACACTGAAATATGGCTGTCCCTGCTTCGTTCTCACGTGGCTTCAGTGTGCAAAGCTAATCTGGAAATTTCAAGTCAGGGTACTTACAGGTGAAGAGGGATTAAATGTGTGCTAATCTTCTGGGATATTTATAGTTTTAACATAGGGGCTCCTGAGCTTGGCAATGTCTTAACTTGGTCATTTTCAAACTGCTGGAAAGGAGAAGAGGGAGATGGCTAGAAGGCAGGATTCCCTTTCCTACCACCTATTAACTAGAAGCTTTGCACACTCCTGTAAAATTTTGTTTGACTGAAGTTTTCTGAGGTCTGTGTACACAGAAAGTTATTTTTATTAATAGTAGGACTGCAGGCATTGTGATAAAGATTTTTGTCCAGGGAGGCTTTTTGCCCTCCCTACTCCAAAGTACTAATATAAGAACCTACACTCAATGAGTATTTGATGAATTGAAAAATGTTCTATTACCCATGGTCTTTGTCTGGACTAGTGAGTGGATGGACTGTCACATAAGAGTTCTTGCCAATCTGTGTGAGAACAACCACATTTTATATTGGCCTCCTCAAGTTAATTCAGATTTCCAATACAGCCATCTCGACAGTGGAATTATCAAATGCACAAACTAAGACTTTTTGTTTGCTACTAGATCTTCATAATCCACTCTCACTCAGGCCTGATCAACACCAGCAAGTACTTCAGAAATGTGACCTAAGCTCCCTTTAAGGACGGGGCCTAGCCATTGACAGGATCTGCCTATAGCTGGTGGTGACAGGTTCCCCTCAGAGAAAAAAGGCTTGTAACAGGATCTGCTACTTTTGCATAACACTCTAGAGCAGACCAGCAAAACAGCTGAGAGAGCCAGTGACCACTCAAAAAACTACAGTGACCATGTCCTGCCAATACAGGTTACTGCTCCTTCTCTAATATTTACTGATCTCCCTTATCTGAGTGAGATCTGCTCCTTTTCCCCACTTACTCCTCTTCTAATAAGAGGTTTATGTCCCTCTCTCCTAAAACTTCCTCTTCTCCACCAAAAACTTTTTGGATATAAGCTGCCACTCCTCATCTCCCAATTTTTTTCCTTGAAGAACAATAATGATGCTTCCAAGATCTGCTGATTGCTGGTCACTGGCTCCATAGACAGCTGCTGTATTCAGTCTAGACTTAAGTTCCAGCCTTGGGGAATTTGGTTTGGGAGGGATCTAGAGTCCAGCCATACTAGTTCTCGGTGACAGAAAAGTCTCACAGGACTTCCAGTACTTGGCCTACAAATAGCCTTCAAAATACTGCACCAAGTTTGCACTCGACATGTCCATCTCTAGGTGTCAATCTTAGGCAATTGTGCATTACTCCTGGATTTCTTAAAAGGAAGTGTGGTTCTAGGTACCACGGCTATGACCTACTTATGTTTCACTATCCCATATCCTTTTTTAGGGAGACAGATCCAAGGATCAGAACTATCCTAGGCCTCTTGCAAACAGGGCTCCTAGAGTGGGTTTTTGTTTTAGTTTGGTTTGGTTTGGTTTTTTGGTAGAAATGGGGTCTCTCTATGTTGCTCAGGCTGGTTTCAAACTCTTGGCCTTGGATGTGAGGTCCATCTGGCTGCGACATCTGTCACCCCACTGATCACCAGGATTGATTCAGCTGATCTGGCTGGCTAGGCAGGTGTCCCCTTCCTCCCTCACCGCTCCAAGTGCATCCCTCCTAAAGCTGCGCACTCAAAGAGAACAATCTTCCCCAATAGAGAAGGACCATTCTTTGGTCAAGGGTATATGAGTAGCTTCACTCCCCTGCTAGAACCTCCAAACAAGCTCTCAAACTCTTGGTCTCAAGTGATCCTCCTGCTTTGGGCTCCCAAAGTGCTAGGATTAGAGGCATGAGCCACCACGCCCAGCCAACTCCTGGAATTTTAACAGTTACACTGGATAAAGGTGATATTAGAACCAGGACTTTTTCAAGGACCAAAGTTGAGAAAGGACCTGTGTTCCCTGGCTACAGGTTTAATACTTATCCTTTCTTCTGTTTAAGTCTGAGAAAAGTCTTACGTGGATTTAACTCTCCCATCTCACAATTATATTTACATATGATGCTATGTCATATATTCTCTAGCTAATATGATTCAGCATTTGTAAATCAAACCAAAAATATATAATGTATTAAAAAATATACTCACCTCTATCCCCATTATTTCCTTTGGTGTCTTCAATTGAATCTAAACAATCAATAAGGACTTCTCCAGGTCTTGTTTTCATTTGCCTAAAATAAATATAAAGGTTTTAATTTTATAGCTACAACTATACCTGCTTACAATCTATCTAGGGAGAAAAGAGACATATGCATATAAAACAGCCAACAGTATAAATGACACTATACCAAATGCTCATGCATTTAAAAATAAGGTCTTCGAGAACCTCAAGAACCTAGAGATCAGTGGGGCCTGGAGTGACCAGGGCCACTTGCAGTAAGCCAGACTAGAAGGAGGAGTAGGATTTGGGGAAATAAAAGGGAAAGAGAGGAGAGTCCATGATTAAAGACCAGGAACAAGAAATGATAAGGGCATGTGAGAAGACTAGGGGAAGAAGGTCTATATTGAGAGAGTGAGAAAAATACTGTTGGATTAACTAAGGAGGAACCAGATTATAGAGGACCTTGTATGTCAGTCTGATAGGTATAGTCCTTATCCTGTGGACAGTGGAGAACCCCAGAGGTTTCTGAGTACAGGAAAGGACATCAGGCAGTTATGGAAGGCGAGGTTACAGAAGGGTTGCATGAAAAGCATCTTCAGGACTTGAAAAATAAATAGATACAGGAGACAAAAGGAAATAAAGAATGAAGAATAGCTTGCTGCCTGATAGAATACATTCTATAGTGTTGAAAAAAACTAGCAAAATATCCAGTAGAGCCTTCTAATACATTCTCCACAGAGCCAACTCAATTACCTATTGAAAATACAGACATGACCATATTACTTCTCTGCTTAAAAGCCTTCCATGTCATCCTGCTACCTAGAAGTTGAAGTCTAAAATCCTCAGCTGAAAATTTCACAATCTGGCTAACTTTCTGTTTGTACCTTCAACCTCTTCCTGCCACAGCCCCTGCCTTCTAGCCAATGAAGTTATATCTATCTCCCTGACTCTGCTTCTAATGTTTGTTCAATTCTTTCTTTTCTTTTTTCCCCCCTGCAATACTCTCCTCCTGTCTACGCTGACAAGATCGTGTCCATTCTTCAGGAACCAACTGAAGTATTATTTCTTTGAGCCCTCCCCCAGGCAGAATAAACTGGTCTGTTTCCATGGTCCCCAACTTTTTGTTCATTTTTTCAGAATGGTACTTACCACATCTATTGCCATTGTCTATGTGTATTTCCTGCACTAGAATGGGGTAGGGTATAAATATCATTTCCTATTATTTTTATTTCTCTAGCTATCAGCACACACAGTAACTAGCGCAGTGGTCTCCAACCCTTTAAACACCAGGGATCAGTTTCATGCAAGACAATTTTTCCATGGGGTGGGGGCTGAGCTCTGCTGTCTAGGGGTTGGGGACTACAGAACTAGCATGTAGTAAACATTTGATAAATATTTAATAAACTAAAAATGTTCATGAAATGGACTTTTATTTGGATTAAAACCCTCCCAGAATGATAGAGAAAAATCATTGAATGTATGTAATATGTAACTATGATTTGTAATTTTACAAATTCCTTTCCCTAACTTCTTCAAGGATCTAATATCATGTTAGTATTAGATCCAGCTACAGCTAAGCCTGGGAGATGCATCAATATTTCATTTTTCCATCTAAGGAGGTGCTGTCCATGATAAGGAACCATAAGAAGTGGCTAAGAAGCTCCATACCATTAATCCAAGAACCTTAGCTTTAACGTTTTCCATCATTTAATATCCCAATGGGCATCTTTTTCCCTGGATTTTTGAGCAGATTTCTAACCATCTTCTCTTTTAAAGTATGATATTTTCTTTTTTTTTTTTTTAACTTTTATGGGTACCCACAACGTATGATATTTTCTAAAAATAAAGCTTCTGTTTGAGAGGTTTCCTCCTCCTTGGTGGTTTAGATGAATAACTAGATGAAAGCTTAGCATGAACATAAAGTTTGCATGGTTAGGAATTTTGAAGACTGCTTACTCCCACCTCCCTCATTTTACAGACAAGAAGACTCAAGCTTAGAATGATGAAGTCATTTGTCCAAGAGCCCACAAGGCGTGTCATTATTCTTGACCTAGTTTAGAACCCTAGTTTCCTGAGTCCCACCCTACGTTCCTACCACCACCCGAAACTGAACTCCCAAGCCCACTTGGGTGTACTGGACGCCCTAGCCCGGGTTGGTCTCAGCCATATTTGGTTTCACATTCTTGATAGGGTCCTTGGGCCAGGACGGGGCCGAAGATAGCACGGGGCCGAAACGGTGTAATCTAGATGCGTAATTGCTGAGGCGCTGGCCTCCGTAAGGACGCGCTGGCCCAGCCAGTCTGGGGGCTCCCGAGGCCAGACGACTGGCGCAAAGCTCCTCCCACCCTGGCCAGGGCCGTGAGCTGCAGGGGTGCAGGCTCCCCCGCGGGTCCCGAACTCGCACCGCGGCGCCCTCTACGGGCTGCAGGGCCCGGGGGAACCTTGGAAACTCACTGCGCGGACACGTCGAAGCGGACATCCCGGTCCTCCCAAAGCGCGTCCAGCACTGACATGGTGACTGAGGCCCGCGGCCGGCGCTCTCCACAGCCGGGAGGCCCAGCCGCGTCTCGCCGGCTCCAAGGCAACGGGCCGCCTCTGTCGCGACGTGTACGGCGGGCGCTGAGACCCAAGCTTCCTCCAGGTAGCGCGCGCGCTTCCCCCAGCCCTTTCGCGTCTTTCAGCCGATTTGAGCCAAGAAGCAGGGATTGGGAAGGGAGGGAGTCTGAGAGCAGCCGCCGCCCGGGCCGAGGACAGTGTGCATGACCTACGGGCGACCTTCCTCCCCTCCACACGGACATCCTTTAGCCATTCCATTCTTCCCAACATTTCTTTGCACCGTCAAGAGATTTAGACTTAAAACTTCCAATTCCTTACGTGGGCCCCTCCCGATTTGGCCCTGCCCACCTCTCCGTCCTCAAGCCCTCCTCCCTCCTGCTGTCTATACTTCCGGCAGGCACGGCTCAGAGCCTTTGGGGAGCCCCTTTCTTTGTTTGGAACGCTGTTTCCCCAGATCTCTGTATGGCCTGCCGTTCGTCACTTAAGTCGCAGCTCAAATGTCAACTGCGGCTGTCCCTCATCTTTCTATCCCCGTCTGTGAACAACCTGAGGACAAGCACTTGATCTATCTGTAATAGTTCACCGCTTTGAGCAATGTCTAGCTCTGTGCAAACACTGGGGATACTAACATGTTTTTCTCAGATTGAAGAGGGCGATGGAGACAGGAATATGTAGTGGACACATACTAAGGTGGGCCCCAGTGAGTCATGCCCTTATATAATCCCCTCCCCTTGAGTGTGGTGGGAACCTGTGACTTGCTTCTAGCCAACAGAATACATAGCGAAAGTGGTAAGATGTCATTCCCATGATTATGTTATGTTATATAAGACTCAGTACTAGGTGACTGAAGTGAGAAAGACTCTCCTGCTTACCTTGAAGAAGCCAGGGGCTATGATATGAACTTTAGTACCAGAAGCCTCTAGCCTGTAGGTGGAAGGAACTGAAATCTGCCAATAAGCTGAATGAGTCTGAAAGCAGATCTTCCCCCAGTTGAGCCTCTGATGAGGCTGTAGCTCCAGGAAACATCTGGATTGCAGCTTCGTGGGACCCTAAAGCAGAGATCCCAGGAAAGCTGTGCCTAGACTTCCGACCTACAGAAGTGGTTACATAAGAAATGTCTCGTTTAAGCTACTAAATTTGTGATAATTTGTTATGTAGCAATAGAAACCAAATGTGGAATCAGCTTTGGAATCGAACTGGGCAGCAGGCATATGCTTCTAGACCCAGCAAAATTCTACCAGTAGGAAGCAGGCTGATAAAATTACTCACCTGCAAACCTGTGATACCTTCCCTAAAAAAGCGAGGGTGACTCAAAGAATAGAACCAAGAGTCCAAAGAGTAGACTGAAAGTCAAGGAAGAGTATTCCCAGATCTTAAAACTCAATCGATAAAAATCCAACATTTGCCCAGATGGATATCAGAATTATTATACATCAGTGACTCATTTTACCTTCCATTCCCCCCTTTTAAACTGATATGTCTATAACTGTTATCCTGTGTCTGGCCCACTATTGTATGATGGGAATGTTCGGACTAGACTTGCCTCTTTAGCCTAACTGTGGGTTAGACTGGGTCATGGCCCTGTCCGTGGTCTGTTCTGGACCGGGCCATGCATCACCACCTGAGCTCTGCCTCCACCTCTCCACCCCACTCCCCACCCGTCCATGGAAAAATTGTCTTCCATAAAACCAGTCTCTGGTGCCAAAAAAGGTTGGGTACTGCTGATCTAACAGGTCCACAGAAAGGAGTTGTGTTCTCAAGAACTGAATGTAATGGATCATACCCAGCCTCATCTGCACTATATATAGATGATTTAGATGATGAGATTTTGTACTTTGAGCTGATGCTATAATAAGATGAGAGGAGAACCTTGGGAGGGGGGATTTTTTTTTTCCTTTGGAAGGAACAAATTGTTGGGGGCCAGAGGTTAGACAGTGATAGGCAGAATTCTAAATGGCTCCTAAGGTTCCTGCCCTCCTGGTGTACACTTCTTGTGTAATCCCACCTCTTGAGTGGAGAAGAATCTATGAGTACAATAGGATATCAGTCTTGTGATTAGGTTGTTATATGGCAAAGGTGAAGGAGTTTTGCAGCTGTCATTAGTGTACTTTGAATTAGTCAAAAGGAGACTATCCTTGGTGGCCTGACATTATCAGGTCATCCCTTAAAAGAGATCTCCCTGCTGCCTTTGAGGAAATAGAAACCATGTTGTGAGAGCGCCACATGGATAGGAATTGAGGGTGACCTCTAGGAGCTGAGAGACAGCAAGAAAACAGGAGCTCCAGTCATCCACCCACAAGGAACTGAATTCTGCCAACATTCCGTATGACTTTGATGAGATCACATCCCTGACCCAACCTTGATCTCAGAAGAGACCCTGAGCAGAGGACCCAGCCTAGACTCCTGATCCACAAAAACTGTGAGATAATAAATTTGTGTTGGTTTAAACTTCTAAGATTGTGATAATTTGCTATGCAACAATGTTAAATTAATACATTGACATCACAGTAGAAATTTGAAACAAAGACTGGGGGGAAGACAATGACAGCCTATTATTTGTCAATATGCTTGTAATTGATCTTCATTCACATAGTTTGTTTCCCAGACTTGTTTTTCCTCCCTCCTGCCTTTGTAAATAAAGTTGTGTGCGTGCGTGTGTGTGTGTGTGTGTGTGTGTGTGTACTTTTTAAAATCAACAGTATTGGGGTATAATTTACATACAAAAAATACGTACTCTAAGTATGCACTTCAATGAATTTTGACAAGTGTATGCATCTATGTAACCACTCCCATAATCAAGATATAGAACATTTCTGTCACCCCAAAAAGTTTCCTCGTGTTCCTCTGCAGTCAACTCCAGGCCCCATGTAATTGCTGTCTATCACAATAGATTTTTTCTTCTTTTTTTATTGTGGCAAAATATATATAACAACATTTGCCATACTATAAATTAGTTTTGAGCGTTTTAGAATTTCATATAAATGGTGCAATAAATTATGTATTATACACATTCTTTTGTATACAGCTTCTTTTATTTGACATGTTTTTGAGGTTCATCCATATTGTTACATATCAATAGTTCATTCCTTTTTTTTTTTTTAAGACTGGTCAAGTACAGTAGTGAGAAGACGGGAAAAAGTAGAACAAGGACTTCAATTTGTAACTAACTATGAACAATCAATTGAGATAACTCACTACTTTCAGACCAGCCAGTTCATTCCTTTTTATTGCTGTCTGCTATTGCATTCTATGGGTACACCGCAATTTATTTCACTTCTTGGATGTTGGGGGTTGTTTCCAGTGTTCAGCTGGAAGTTGTCAAGAACATCATGCACAACTTAAACTTGCCAAAAATATTCATGCACAAGTCTTTTTGTTGATAGAGATTTTCATTTCTTTTGGGCAAATACCTAGGAGTGGAATTGCGGGGTCATGTGATAGGTATGTGTTTAACTTTTTAAAAAACTGTCAATTGTAGCTCCAGAATCTAGCACAGCATCTGGGACCTAATAGGATATCAATAAATATTTATTGAATGAATGAATACATGAATGAGCTATGTGAGACTCACAA